CAAGCGTTCCCAACTGTTTAATCATGGCTGAACAATTGAAAGAACCATCACACTTCCCTTGCAAAGCATGAATTAACTATCATTACCTCCACTGCACTCAAGTGTAATACTCATACTAAAGTTTATCACAATTAAGGCTTTTAGAAAAGGTTCAACAGGTTTTTATAATGTAGTCTTCGGGATATCACTTTCAGCTGCTGACTGACAAGAGTTGATGGATATATATATATATATATACACCGTATATATCCCTCTAGAAAAACGTGATATAATAGCTCAGTTCATAAGTAAGAAACATATTGTAACTGCAGCCAATCAACAGTGTGTGCTTTCCCTCCTTCACTTAGCAAATACTTGAAAAGAAATACAAAAACAAAAGATTCATAAAAATACACCACTTTTTAACATTAGATTTTAAAACATTTGCTGCCTCCATCTGTCTTTTCCAAACAGAAAGATTGCATGTCAGTGAGTCATGATTTCATCACTATTTCATGTAATGCACTGAAACCGCAGCAGGGCAGGGGGGGAATATTAACAATTTGAAGAAGCTTTATGCAATACTTTCTAGTATTGTATATGACAAAAGCTTTTCTGGTAATAATACTATGTTAAAAGAAGCATCCAAAACAACAGCTTCCAAGTTTTAGTGCATAGCCTCAAACACTTCACTGCTGTATGACTTAACCCCCCCCCCCCCCAATAAACTGGAATTATATTCAGATTGGTTATCTGCAATGGCTGTTAAAGGACTAGAAAAAGGAATTTTCTGTTTAACTGAACATAGGCAGCAATGAAAAATATCGCATTTAAACTAAACACATGTACAGTTAACACACCTTTTAAAAAATGTTTTAAAGCACAGCTTTAAAAAAAGGGCAGAAAACTAATGGCATGCTGAGATCAAAAAATATTGCAATACTTTTCAAGGACAACCTCAAGGTAATACTCAATGACAGTTTTTAGAGCAGATTTTGTCTAGCTGTATAATGCTAGTTCATTGGTCAGGTGTTAGTACACATTACTCATAACTGTCCTTGGATTTCCTATTCATAAACATGAAAATGTATTTTAAAAATGGAAATACGTTGTGAAATCACAACTCAATCACATTTCATATAAGTTATTAAGAGAGATGTCTTTTTCATTTGTTCTGTCTGACCTGTCTAAAAGTGCTTCCAGGTCAGACGTGGATCTTTGCCAGGACAACATCCAGACATTGGCCCTGTCCGTGTGGTTCTATAGTTGCTCTAATGTTGGCCAGTCCCTCTAGTGTCCTGCCTAATTACTACTGCTGCACTCATCTGCCAAATTTCTTACCTGCTATCAACAGTGGCAGGCACACCAGCTAGGGGAGGCCAATGTACTTGGGGGCCCTTCAAAGTTCTTAAGGAGAGAGCTGTGCCCCCTCAATAATGAGTGGTAACATTGTGTGTGATGTCACACAACATCATGTGTGATACTAAAGTGACACTAAATGATGCTAAGCCTATATCACACCCCTGCTGGGAGTTTTCCTCTAAACTAAAGTAGTCCCGCCATGTTTACCACTTCTTAATAAAGAAGAAGATACTTGCATCTTCTGAATAATTTTAGCTGCTCTTTTCTATACCTTCTCCATGTTTATGACATCCTTTTTGAGATGGTGCAACTTAGAACAATACAAAAGATGCTAAATGTGGGTGTACTATAGTGTTTAAAAGGGGGAAGGAACTGGCATTATGATGCTTGCTTTTTATTTCAATCTCCAATTTTTAATCATTACAACACACTGAGCTAATGCAGTCAGTGAGTCATCAAGAATTACTAATACCTATTTCAAACGTAGAAGCATGAGCTTGGATTAAAACCTACACTTGTTAGGTGCCACAAGACTAGAAGCTAGCCTGACACACTAAACAATAGTTCCCTACTTCCTATGTAACCAAGAGAAAAATAGACACTTCGGCCAGGAAACAGATACTGCTAACTGAAATCCTTTTGCACTTGGGAATCTGGCAATCAAGAAGATTTCACCCTTCTCAATTTCAGAATGTACAGGAAAGAGGACAGCTTTTGGAAAAAAATCAGAAATGCTAGCATCCAAAAGTATACTGCTTATTATTTTCATGCTATTAATTCATACCTCTTCTATTAATAAAATTAACAGCACCAATATCAGGATAAAGCAAACGGAAGAGGCACTAAGCACTGAGCAGGAAAACTCATTTTTCCAGCTCAGAACTATAGTCAGACCATCAATTTATCTTACTATCTTTTTATTGGCATAAATCCTACTTTCTAATGGCTGCCTTTTTCCTGCCTGTGAAAAATTATTGGGCAGTTTACACTAACTGCTTTCTGTCATGTTTCATTTCCAAACACCATCTTTTGTCAGTTTATTCCAATCAACTCCAAAATAGACCATTAATGTGAATAAAGAAGATCTGTCTTCCAACATCATTAATGAGATGATTCAAAGAGTAACTCCATCTCCACTACTCCCTGCCCTAAAATATAAACACCTCACATTTTGCAACTGATTCCCAAAATCTTGAGATATGCACGCACATCTGCCTAAAAAAAATAATTAAACCATGCACACAAATATGCTGAATCTTTTTATAGTTATACATATTCACTGGATTTTATACTCTGAACCATGAAGGGGAAAATGGTAGGATCAGAATTTCTCGGGGGGGGGGAGGAATGGGACAGAAAGAAACCTCAGTAGGTGATAAGAAAGGAGTTAACTATGGTGAGCTCAACGCATTTCAAGTATGAAACCCTTCTTCAAGGTCAGCTCTCGTAAGAACATATGAAGCTGCTTGCTGGATCAGATCAAACACCCACCTACTCTGTCATCCTGTTCCCACAGTGGCCAATCAGATGTCTCTGGGAAGCAGGCAAGCAGAACATGAGGGCAACAGAATTCTCTCTACTCGTGTTCCTCTGCAACTAGTATTTAGAGGCATGCTGCCTCTGATACTGGGTGCGGTACATAGCCATCATGACTAGTAGTCATTAATAGCCCTATTCTCTACATACACACACACACACACACACACACACACACATTTTCAACAGAGTGGTGCCTTTTGCTGTCTCGTAGATGCACTATGAACTAAAACAACTTCTTTCCAAAGGCAGTCTAACTCAATTAGTTCACATACAGAGGTCTTCAAATTTCAAAAATAAAGCAAATGACCGGCTTTAAATTTTTGATATTAGACCATTTTAGCTAAAATTTCAAAAGCCACAAAATAAAACAGCTGCAGCTTACATTTGCCTTGGTTCAGAGAGAAGACATTCGGTATCTACGTTTCAGAAGCATGTCCTGACTTAGGTAATAGCTAAGGAACAAAAACTCAAGAGAGATTTATGTGTGGCAATTTATATGTGGTAGAACCGGTGATGAATCATTCCTGCAGTTGCAACACTCTTCAGAGATGTTCTGAATGCCACCAAAAGAAACCACAATACAGCGTGAGGTAAGGACAGGTGATCCTTCCAGAGCTGGCTTCAGAGGTGTTCCAAGCACTTTTGTAGTACCAAATTATAGATATGAGTGTGCCATCCTCTCGAGCTTAGGGCATGGGATCTCACAAAGCATTTTGAGGGTGCTGGAAGAGTTGAGTGCGACATTAAGTACAAGACCTGGCCCCTACCTGAACTTGGGAAGGGGGAGGTCAGGATCATGGCAATTACAAATATTCGCTGGTTACCAAGGCTTAGCAAAATTTGTGGATCCTGTATCATATACCAAGATCCTAATATATTTTCACTCATTTTAAAGATTTGTAACCAGAACCATATGTTGTTGTTTTTTCTAATCAGTATTGCAGGAAATTGAATCCATATATCTTGATTGTGGATCAGACAACTTCCGATCCCATGCAAAATCAACCTTTGCAGCTGTGAACATTTCAGGTGGTTTTGTTCACTTTGGGCTTTGCTTTAACAGCATTTTAAGGGAATCATGAACATAAAGTGGAACATAAATGTTCACTAAATAGGTTTTAGGATCTTGAAAGGAAAATGTTCTCCTAACTTTTAAAATATATAATGCTGCTAAGATTGTAACTGCCTGCTCACTGCCTGAAGAAAGTAGTGAATATCTTAACTACGTATTCTCTAAAATAATTAATGGCTACTAGTCACGATGGCCATGTTGTATCTCAAGGGCTCTGAATACCAGTTGCTAGGAATCACTAGTGGGGAGAGTGCTGTTATACTCAGGTCCTGCTTGCAGGCTTCCCATAGGCATCTGGTTGGTTACTGTGGTAAATGAAGGCTGGATTAGATGGGTCTTTGTCTGGATCCAACAGGGCTTTTCCTAAGTTCTTACAATAATTCAGGTATAGTACAACATGGCTCCTGGGCATTAAGAACACACAATACAAGTCACTGGCTATTAATGGAACCAAGTAATTGTTATAATTAAATCTACAGCATGATTTAGCTTTAATATGTTTCTTTGTGGTCACTCTTGGAAAGTACACTGCTAACCAAAAAACTTTTAAAAGAATTTATTGTTAGCAGGCAGAAAAGCCAGGATATATGTGTAAACAAAGAAATGAAACTGTCCAGTTTACACTGGATTCTGCCCTTAAGTTTATGAACCTAAACACGTTTTCTTAAAATTAAGCTCCACTGAAAATGGGACATATCCAAATGAATATGCTAAGGACATGGCCAGTTTTTGAAAGGTTAGTGTTTCTCCTATAACCTACCCCCTAAATTATCAATTTTGCAAGCATGAGTCAATTCCCTTGTTTCCTTAGGGGTTGAAAAATTATTGATTGGTTGATTGTCAAGAGTGTGCATTCAAATACCAGCCCATAGTTCTCAGTTAAAGAACAATCAGAATTCTTTTCTTAAAAATTCTGAAGAGGAGAGGGAGAGTGATTACACGAAAAGTTTAAATTACATGTAAATATTTGGACATTAAAATCATGATGCTCTGCTGCTGCCTTTACTGTGCAATACTACAGGCAGCAAAATTATGTCAAAAACAGATCTCCCATGTAGCTCAACTGGTAGAGCATGAGACAGACTCTTAATCTCAGGACCATGGATTTGAACCCCACGTTGGGCAAAAGATCCCTGCATTGCAGAGGGTTGAACCAGATGACCACTTATGGTCCCTTCCAACTCTATGATTCTATGAACAATATCTGTATTCTCCCCCAAAATTGTGTGATAAGGATTTTCTCATGGTTAAACTACTGATCCTACACTCTGAATACTAACCAATTCATACAATATATCTCTAGGGTTTTTTATTGCCATCAAATAACAACCCAGTTCTGTAACATCACTACTAAAGCTTTTTTTTTTTTTTGCTATAGGGTTTCCCCCCATTAACGCTATTGGTTACCTAACTTTAATAAGCACAAATCTTTCCTTTCATAAAAGACAATTTGGTGTAAATGACAAAAATAAACATCATTTAAAACTTGCTTCCTCAGTGTATCTTTTTTTAAAAAAATCATTTTTATTGATTTTCCAATAAAAACAGCCAATCAACATGTCCACATCATAATCCAATTAAAAACAAAAAACTAAAATAAAAAAGACCAAAATGTAATTATTACTTTTTCCGGGCTCCCCATAGTCTGGACCTCTGAAGCATATCTTCCTCAATATATCTTCAAGAGGTGAAAATATTCTCAGTCTATGAGTACCCTAGACAAGGATCATTCCATCATGATCCAGGGACCAGATGACTCGAGTTGTGACTTGACATAATTATTGGAGGAAGGGGCATGTAAACAATGCTCCCTTGCAGGTCATCTCCACTTACTTGAATGAACTCCAACTAAGATGGGTTATTTCTAGGTCAGTCTGAGGTAACACAGCTGCACCAATGTTATCACTGGCAGACCCAGAAATAAATCAGGAATTCTCACGCAGACTTCATTTACTACTTGTGAAGCTATGAGGGGACTGGATTGGTCACTGTGACTGAAGGCTTCACAACCTGGTAGTAGAAAATGAAACCAAATCATTGGGCAGGCAGCAGTACATAGCTCAGTGGTACAACACATGCTATCATGAACTCCAATTCAATCTCTGCTATCTCCATTTAAAAGGGTCTCTAGTAGTATGACTGAAACACATATTTAATCAAGACATGAGAGCTACGACCAGTGAGAACAGAAGGACTGGGCTACAACAGCCAATGGTATGACACAATGGCAGTGTTCACACATCATAGTTAGCGGTCCATCATGAATGTGCAGGTGGATCCTGCTTTGCTCATCCCCCAGTACAACTGGAAGCAATGAACTATTATTCCCAGCTCAGCATTACATCCCAGCCAGGGATCGTGGTTTGTTTGGATCGAGAAAACGACAAATTCCAGATCAGATGTAATGCTAAACCAGGGCCTGGGAACTATTGCTCCTGTTAGGGGGGTAATGTGAAGCCTGGAGAAAAATGGGAGCCACCTCTGCAGTTAGAGTAAACCATTAATGATGCTTTGCTGTGATGTGCAGACTAGGCTAGCATAAGGCATCTCTAGACTAGTATTAGGCATCTTAGTACTGTATGTCAATTTTTAGGTTCTGTCAGTCATACTTCAAGGCGGGTTATCAAATCCAATTATTTGGCAATATGTGCAGCAACAGACACTTCAGTGTGTCTGTAATGTTGACTGGTACACCAACAAAAACTTTGGTAGCATTTTCATTCCAAGAAATTCTCAGCTGATCTTTCCTTTTTTAGATTTATTTAAACCAGGAAAAATCGGTCAAGTTAAATCAGGAAATTCAAAGAATACAATGCCAACAAGGCCTTAAGTACTTTACACTGGATTACATCCAATATTTATTTCCTTCTGTTTTACACACTTCCCCTGAGAATCTTCAGGGGGGTTGCTGATTACTGAAAAATTATTGTTTCAGTACAGAGTAGGGTATGATAACAAATTGATGACTTTAACACTAGAGTGATATTTAGTTACAACAGATTGTGGACACGCAGTGAAGTGTAGAGACAGATTAAAAAGGCACAGGGGTTCTATGCTGAACCATATTCTAAAGCTCCCTTTCCCTTTGATCCCCTGCCAGCATTTCAAACACATAGGCAGGCATGCACAAATGTAATAAGTCCATTTCCCAAAAGCCTCCTTCACTCCTGTCCACTTTATACTGCCTTTCCCTTGAAATTTTCTACATTACTGACAGTATTCCATTCATCATTCTAGCTGTGTTATCGGTATTGTAAATTTTCTTACAGCTTGGATCATCGTAAACACTCCCTGTTGTGTGATGAAGAAGCAGTCACTATGGCTGGGTTTCAAAAAGGGAATTTGGAGCATCCAAGAATTTGGGGCATGCTTAGCTTGTTTAATGTTCTTTCCAATTAAACAGTAGAGAATGTACCATATAACAAACTATTTTTAAAAGTCCCATCAGCTTCAAAGGTAGCTTGATATGTTGCATTCATCCCAGCCGATGTTCTGATATTCTGTTTGTTCTGGAATTTTAAAAGGAGTCCAGCCTATTGAGGTCAGACTGCCAGTTATAGAAATATTAACTTGTGGTCTTTATACTGAAAAAAATAATACAATTACACTACAGAACGCACCCTATCCAACTACCCAGAAAATTAATCTGCAAAAGTTACTAGTCCATAAAACTTTACTAGTTCACTTTTTTCTGTGTATGAACTCAAATGGTTAGTCTAAAAATAATGCATATCCTCATGTATAGTATCATTCATGTGAACATTAACACGCATCACACATGTATTACTTCAAAACTCTTACAATTTGGCAGTTATATGGAAAACTACAATTCATGGAGCACTGCATAAACTAAATAGTGTTGTCATCAACATAGATTTTGGAAAAGTAAAAAGTATAACTAGTAAACTAGAAGCTTGCGTAAAACCTCATTTTAGTCATACAATATTTACCTCTACAAGAGAGTTAAGGAAGCAAATTTTAACCTAGTACAGTGGTACCTCGGGTTACATATGCTTCAGGTTACATACGCTTCAGGTTACAGACTCTGCTAACCCAGAAATAGTACCTCAGGTTAAGAACTTTGCTTCAGGATGAGAACAGAAATCGTGCTCCGGCGGTGTAGCGGCAGCGGGAGGCTCCATTAGCTAAAGTGGTGCTTCAGGTTAAGAACAGTTTCAGGTTAAGAACAGACCTCCGGAACGAATTAAGTACTTAACTCGAGGTACCACTGTATGGCAGAGCTGTACATCTCTATCCCCACCATCTCACCTGTTCACTTTTCCTTGCAATGAGGGTGAGATGAAAGGTAGGGAAGGAAGAGTCTGGCACAAGGCATTTTCCATATCTTTTTCCTTCCCAGGCACAGCTCCAGGGAGAAAATGTAATCTGAGCACAGCCAGTTTAGAGTATCCAGGTCATATCTATTTTCTGAGTGACAGTGCAGCACAATTCTGGGTCAATGTAAGGAATAAGAAGACTATACCCTTCTATATGGTCGTTCAAGTATGTTAAAACGTATATTACACTATGGAGGCAGGAGTTGGAAGGTAAAAACTTAATTCTTTTATGGATTCTAGACCTCAGCCATTTACACTAGTATTAGATTCTAACTAACTCTACATTTTTCATATGTTGCTCACAACCAGGTCAGAGATTGCACTGAACACACAGCAGTTCAAAACAATGCAGTAATAAAAATGTGTACATTTAATTCAAATTCACTGTAAAAAATATCCGCGGCTAATCACAAATTATTCTATCAGCCTCCATATTTCCTCCTTGTTTTGTTTTAAAAACAAAGCCACGATTCAAAATGGAAGCCCAGTACATAAACTGCAAAATGACTGGCAAACTTTTAGCCGATCAAATTATGTGTAAGCAAAGGCATTCTTTCCCGGTGGTAGGCGGCCGCATGCCAAGGAACTATGTGCTAGAACTTGTCCTGTACTACCTGTTCAAAGGAAACTGCGCAAGAATATTTCAAGCTCTGACACATACTACTTTGTGCAAAAACATCCACAGGAGTATTACAAAAAGACAGCAGTGATGTTTCAGCAAACCCTGTGTCAAAGGAAAATGCTCCCCTGCATTTTTATCAGCAAGCAAAAAACGAACCATCATACCTTACATAAAACTGTATCACTAACACCAATACCGCAAAGTTCCTCTGGCCCTTGCATTTTGGATTCTAGCTCTGCTCTGTACGGATGGAAGTGAAACCTGCAAAGTTGATACCACATCGTGTGCTGTTCCCTGAAAGTATACATTAAACCCATAATTTTGCTTTTCTCCTTTGGAAAGGTTTTATTTTAAACAAAACTTTTCTGTCTTCTGTTAAGGGCTGCCTTCTGTTATGCAGCCCTGGCTTCTTAGATTTTTATCTTTTACGAAAGCACCTGGAACGAATTACAGCGGTACCTCCGGTTGTAGACGGGATCTGTTCCGGAGGTCTGGTTGGATCCCGAGGTTTCCGCAACCTAAGGACTCCTTCTGCGCATGCGCAGACCACTTCTGTGCATGTAAAATACTTTTGGGTTTGCCGTCGAAGTTTATATAACCAGAGGGTTATATAAATGGAGGTACGACTGTATTTCAAATCTAGACCACAAAATTAAGATAAAGGTAAATGTTGAGGTTAAAAGGAAAGGGGGTACAACATATAAACGGTAAAGGGTCTCCTTAACACCATTTCAGAAATAATAATAATAATAATAATAATTTTATTTATATCCCACCCTCCCCAGCCGAAGCCGGGCTCAGGGCGGCTAACAACAATCAAATAATCAAACAATCAAATAATCCAACATTCTAAAAACATGTCATTATAAAAATTAATTAAAATCAAATTAATGGCAACCGTTAAGCAAAATTCTGTGCAGGTTGCCAGAGGAGGGAGTCAGGCTGCACCCTGACCAAAGGCCTGGTGGAACAACTCTGTCTTGCAGGCCCTGTGGAAAGATGTCAGGTCCCGCAGGGCCCTAGTCTCTTGTGACAGAGCGTTCCACCAGACTGGAGCCGCTGCCGAGAAAGCCCTGGCTCTAGTTGAGGCCAGCCTAACCTCTCTGTGGCCTGGGACCTTCAGGATGTTTTTATTTGCAGACTGTAGGTTCCTCTGTGGGGCATAC